TATCTTCTGGTCTCAAATCACTTGAAACATCACTGCAACACTACATTTTGTTAATTTGACTGCTCGTTTCAAAATGCAGTTCAGACATTCTTCGCTTGTACTCTTAGTTGTTGGTTGTTGTTTTGAGGGGGTTCGAAACACCAGAGTAAATACTGATAACTGGATCGAACTGACTAATAACCAGCAGGATGTCGATAGCTTCCAGGCAACTCTAAAAACGTCAATCCAGAAACAAGGAAACAGAGATCCAGATGATTGGCATGAAGTTTTCAGGTACAGTCAGACGGCAATGCTTTTCATATAGCGGTTTTCGAGCTCCAAATTTTGATTGCATTTTACGCGATTTGGGTTGCCATGAGAGAAAAACTATTGGTCATGATTGTTGCTCAAAGTTCCACTAGAATTCCACTGGCACATTTTGTTTGATGAATTCCGGACGCAAATCCAATTTAGAGAAACTTATTTTTTTTTGAGAAAGATTTGGATCGATTCTTGTTTTGTTTGCAACAAACAAAAATCTTAAAAGCCCTTGAAAATTCAACACGCAAATTTTCTTCAAAATCAACAGTCAAATTATTACAATTTTAAGTACATGTATATAATTATTATCGGTACCTAATATGAGCTTAAACAGCGTCGATTTCTGATGAGGCTAAAAAAGCGCCTTGTTTGACTCTATTTTTTGTCTTAGAATTTTAAACATCGCCTTTGAACTTTTCGAGGGTATTTTTTACCGGTTGATGAATTTAAAGAGTGCCCGTGAATCTTTTCAATTCTCTTCGAGGAACTAAATATTTGACTAGATTTGATAGTTCACATTTTCCAACGGTTTTTTCTCTACTTTTTGTTTCAGCTTTTTTCTTGAACAACGAGCTCAAAATGCTTTTCGCACAACGCTTCGCTTCAGTTCATTTAATATTATCAAACAGTTACCTCCAGCGGTGAATATACCCCTAGTCTGTTTGTTTTGCTGCATTAACATCATATCTTGACTTTTTTTGGTGGCTATTGTTTGAAAACTGAAGTGACCATGGCGCAGAGGCTAGAATTTTTCATCTCGGGGTCAAGGGTTTGATACCAGAACCTGGCAGAGTTTTTCGTCTCTTAGTTTTTTCTTGTCTTTCATTTTTTAGTGTTTGACCTTTTAAGAGCTACTTTTAGTCGCTTTTTTTCTTGTGTTTGCGAAATGCAGCTTCGCCTCTGTTTGAAGATATGTTGGATATTTTTCCAATTCTTATTTTTTGGTCTGATGCGCAGTCAACTAGAATTCTTTCGACTCGTTGACTGATTGGTATTTTATGCAATTTATTCCTCTGGTTAAGTGTTTGTCTATGAAGTAATTTTTCGTTTCTCTTGTTCACAAATTTATATTCCGGAAATTATTTCACGCCTGAGTTTAACGCGTGACTTCTTTTAAAGTTCACATTCTAATTCAGTTCCTTAATGGAAGGCAAGTTGCGCTCTGCAATAAAAAATGTAAAAATGGCGAGGAAATTGGAGCTGCTGATTTTTGTTTCAGAAGTAGTTCGGTTTTGATATCAAGTTTATCATTGGAATTGTCACATTGTTGCATTGACATGTAGTTACATGCAGATTTATCATATCAGCGTCAATTCAATATAATTTTCTAATCGGACAATTCACTCATGATTTCATTTTTTTCTAGGAACTGCAAAAATCAGAAAATGTCTGTCTTCTTTGGTTGCGACGATTCATGTACAACGGAAAGAGCAACATTTGTTCTGTTCAGCTCTTCGCCGAGAGTGCCCCAGGTTAAGATCTACTTTCAGTTTTTTCGGCTAATTTTCTGGGCTGGGTAAGGTTGTTTCACCCCACAACCAACGAGTTCGGATCATGGTGAGCCTCGAACATCCGACCTTTCGATTCATAGGAAGAGACGTAACCAATTCGCTACCGCTCCCCTAATTGTTTGTTTTGAATTGAATTTGTAAAAACCATGAGATCACCAGGAACCAATCAATTGCTGACTATCTGATACGAATCGGGCGCTATTTCATTTTGATTTTTTTTGGAATTCTGTTTTGACTTAATAATTTGCTTTTTAGGTCACGCTCTTTATATATGCAGATGCAAAAGCTGAAATTGACAGCTAAATTTACGTGGTTTCAATTTCCAATAATGTATTTATCGAGCTTTCCTGGCAAAGTAATAGTCTTACTATTAATCCAGTTTTTAAAGAGATATTGAACTGAGTGCGTTTTTCGAAATGCTCTTATGTTTAGGTTTTATGATTTTTTTCCAGAAGAAGTTTTTTTACGAGCCGTTGCAGTCTTTGAAATAATTTGAAATATTTATAAGTATCATTGTTTACCCTTGCGAAGCAAAGTGTATAGGTATGAACTTTAATTTTTTTCCAATCTAAGTCGCAAATAAGTGCTAGTTTTGGTGGCACTTTTGAATCGTTAGGACGCGGTAGCAGTATAATGTCATATGTGCTTTGACATTTGATTAGTGGAAAGCTAACAAAGTTGATGCATTTTCAATTATCAATTGAACCGGGAAAAGTTATTTGTTTCAAAGAGCAGTACAATGATAAAAAGCTCGATTTCAGAAATTTTCCAACCTAATGTTTCTCGCATTTTTTTTGAAATGCATAATTTAAACATAATTTGGCCTTAATGCTTTCCAATTTGTTACATGCAAAATTGTGTCTTTTTGTATTTTATGCTACTTTTGCTACATCGAATTGACAATTTATTAGCATATGTCGCTGTCTTATTGGTGGCTAGTTTTTAGTGATTTTAAGCATCCGTGGTTGAGTGGTTAGTGCGTGAGACTCACATTTACTAGGTCGCAGTTTCGAATCCGACACGTAGTCGAGTTTTTGCTAATTCGAGGCCTATTTCTACTTTTTCTTATTTCATTTGATCGAGCTGATTTTTGGTAGTGTCTCGTAAGTGTTCGTGAAGCGCAGCTTTGCCTCTGTGTTGAATAGCTGGCTTAGAAAAATCATGATTTTTGCAAACCGATTTGAAACACAGCTTCAAGCAAGCTATTGTGCGAAAAATTTCCGCTTCAATAGGTTATTCAAGAAAGCTTTGAAGCGAAAAAACTTCGAATTATAGGAGCTTGCTTAAAAAAACAAATTTAAAATATTTCGAAGTTTTGTCGCTTCAATAGCTTGCATAATCGTTTTAATTTTGTTTTAAGCAATTCACTTCCATTGCTTGCTTGAATATTAAATAAAAACTGTTTTGCGATGCAATCCAAGCTGCGAAACAATTTCGAAATGTTTCAATGTTCCGTCTCTGAAGTAGCTTACTTCCAAAACTTTTTTGTTAGCCGATTCGTTCTATGAAATAACTTGAAATATTTTAGTTTCGTCGCTCGCTTAGAGAAACTTCAAAATTTCGCAAGTGGATTCATTATTTGAAATTCATCGCTTGAACTTTTTAAATTTAATTACTTAGGTTTTTTGCAAATCGATTCGCTCTGTGAAATAACTGAAATAATTCGAAGATCTATTGCTTGAATAGCTGCCGTATAATTTTTCACGGAATTAATATTTATCCGGAATAATTATCTCGGACCGATTAGCTTTATTAATCAACTTGAAATATTTGGAAATTTTTTTCTTGAACCGATATGCTGGGTTCTGTTTTCGGCTCAACTGGGGGTCGACCCTAAGTTTGTCGCTGTAGTTATCGCTTGGTAAGTTTTTACCAATGCTTTTACTGATCTTTAGAATATCATCCAATACAATTATGAATTTTTTGTAAGCGTAATTTCTACTTTTTCAAGTTTTTTTCATTATCTTCTGCCGCAAAATTTGTGTTGTATCTCCAGGGTTCCGAAGCTCCGCTTTGCCTGTTTTGATTTTTTTATTTTGAAAACCATGGTTTTTATAGCAGAAATAAGAAAGATTCTGCCTCAATTTGTTCTGGACAGTTGTTTTTTAGCTTTTTTGCTGCAGTTTTCGGATAATCGAATGATATTTCTTTGTGAAAAATAGAATTTTTTAATTATCAATTATTTGTTGTTTAATCTGTTGATAATATGCAATCTTTGATCGATTTCAATTTTTCATTTTTTTTTTAATCCAAAATGTTATGTTTTTTCACAATCAAATAGTCGAAACGACTGATCCCACCCCTTTAACGCTGATGTATGTCACCTCAAGACTAGGATAATTTTTCTTACTTGTACCGGTAATAGTTTTGAAAAATGAAGGTTTTGAAGGATCGTGATGAAATTTGGTTATTTTTTCAGCTTCTTATCTGCCTGTTGTATCGCAAGTAGTGCGAAGCCCAGCTTTGCCTCTGTGTTTATTATTGTGGCCGAATTTTTCTGTGCTTGCACAGCAACCGGCTAGCCTTGTTATTTGTTCATTTATACTTATCGTTTTGTCTTTAGTTTAATTTTGCAAATTTAGTCAAATTTCTCCGAAAGAAAATGTCACATATAAATGTTCGAATTGGGAGAGCGTCAAGATGTTCTTTGAAAAGACAAACTGAAAAAAGCACAAAATAGAATTCGGCGTTCCTCAGTGAATAATTGTTTCCCTGCTTGGCGTTGAGTTCGATGCTGCGGATAAACTACCCATATTGATAGCGACGAATATTTTGTATAGAAGGTTTCTTCCTAATAGATTTTTTGCAATGTTTTTACCGGATCTAATTGTGGGATGTGAGTTTTATGAGGACGCAAGTGGCAATCAAGGGAACCTGGGATCAAACGATTTATAATGTTTTTAGTATGCGCTTAAGATTGTAAACTAAAAAGTGACTTTTCTTTCTAATATTAAACGAAAACCGAGAAAACGTTTTTGAAAAGTAATATCGATCGGGACACGGCTGCAAGGGCTTTGCTAAGATATATCACGCCATCTGCCGATTGTATTGAGCACCTAATTTCGCATGAAAATCTGAAAATCACTCGATTATAAAATTTCTTCCATTTGGTGGTCGAAACTAATATGTAAAGTTTCAAGTATTTCTATTTTTCTCTGTAGCAAATTTTGTATATCTAGAATGTTTCAGTTGCCAACAATCTCCAGTGTTCAATGTGATAAGTCTATTCCGAACAGTAGATGATTTCAATCCAGTCTACTTGGGCTCACTAATGTGTGACATTGGACTGATATGGATTCAAACAAAACCGAACTCTTACCAAGTTTCCGTCAAAATTAACCCTCCCACTGATTTGTACCTTGATCCGACAACAAATCCTCCGACTACAACTGTCGTCACAACTAGCGAGACGACGGCTACTTTTAATCCGACACAACCTGTTACTTCTCAGAGCACTGTGAGAGTTGTTACGACACAGCAGCGTGAAACGAGCACGGATTCGACTACAGCTTCTGTGAAGCCTCAAAACGTGTTGGTGTACTCCTGATTATTTGTTACATGACAGCTAAATTTACGTGGTTTCAATTTCCAATAATGTATTTATCGAGCTTTCCTGGCAAAGTAATAGTCTTACTATTAATCCAGTTTTTAAAGAGATATTGAACTGAGTGCGTTTTTCGAAATGCTCTTATGTTTAGGTTTTATGATTTTTTTCCAGAAGAAGTTTTTTTACGAGCCGTTGCAGTCTTTGAAATAATTTGAAATATTTATAAGTATCATTGTTTACCCTTGCGAAGCAAAGTGTATAGGTATGAACTTTAATTTTTTTCCAATCTAAGTCGCAAATAAGTGCTAGTTTTGGTGGCACTTTTGAATCGTTAGGACGCGGTAGCAGTATAATGTCATATGTGCTTTGACATTTGATTAGTGGAAAGCTAACAAAGTTGATGCATTTTCAATTATCAATTGAACCGGGAAAAGTTATTTGTTTCAAAGAGCAGTACAATGATAAAAAGCTCGATTTCAGAAATTTTCCAACCTAATGTTTCTCGCATTTTTTTTGAAATGCATAATTTAAACATAATTTGGCCTTAATGCTTTCCAATTTGTTACATGCAAAATTGTGTCTTTTTGTATTTTATGCTACTTTTGCTACATCGAATTGACAATTTATTAGCATATGTCGCTGTCTTATTGGTGGCTAGTTTTTAGTGATTTTAAGCATCCGTGGTTGAGTGGTTAGTGCGTGAGACTCACATTTACTAGGTCGCAGTTTCGAATCCGACACGTAGTCGAGTTTTTGCTAATTCGAGGCCTATTTCTACTTTTTCTTATTTCATTTGATCGAGCTGATTTTTGGTAGTGTCTCGTAAGTGTTCGTGAAGCGCAGCTTTGCCTCTGTGTTGAATAGCTGGCTTAGAAAAATCATGATTTTTGCAAACCGATTTGAAACACAGCTTCAAGCAAGCTATTGTGCGAAAAATTTCCGCTTCAATAGGTTATTCAAGAAAGCTTTGAAGCGAAAAAACTTCGAATTATAGGAGCTTGCTTAAAAATTATGAATTTTTTGTAAGCGTAATTTCTACTTTTTCAAGTTTTTTTCATTATCTTCTGCCGCAAAATTTGTGTTGTATCTCCAGGGTTCCGAAGCTCCGCTTTGCCTGTTTTGATTTTTTTATTTTGAAAACCATGGTTTTTATAGCAGAAATAAGAAAGATTCTGCCTCAATTTGTTCTGGACAGTTGTTTTTTAGCTTTTTTGCTGCAGTTTTCGGATAATCGAATGATATTTCTTTGTGAAAAATAGAATTTTTTAATTATCAATTATTTGTTGTTTAATCTGTTGATAATATGCAATCTTTGATCGATTTCAATTTTTCATTTTTTTTTTAATCCAAAATGTTATGTTTTTTCACAATCAAATAGTCGAAACGACTGATCCCACCCCTTTAACGCTGATGTATGTCACCTCAAGACTAGGATAATTTTTCTTACTTGTACCGGTAATAGTTTTGAAAAATGAAGGTTTTGAAGGATCGTGATGAAATTTGGTTATTTTTTCAGCTTCTTATCTGCCTGTTGTATCGCAAGTAGTGCGAAGCCCAGCTTTGCCTCTGTGTTTATTATTGTGGCCGAATTTTTCTGTGCTTGCACAGCAACCGGCTAGCCTTGTTATTTGTTCATTTATACTTATCGTTTTGTCTTTAGTTTAATTTTGCAAATTTAGTCAAATTTCTCCGAAAGAAAATGTCACATATAAATGTTCGAATTGGGAGAGCGTCAAGATGTTCTTTGAAAAGACAAACTGAAAAAAGCACAAAATAGAATTCGGCGTTCCTCAGTGAATAATTGTTTCCCTGCTTGGCGTTGAGTTCGATGCTGCGGATAAACTACCCATATTGATAGCGACGAATATTTTGTATAGAAGGTTTCTTCCTAATAGATTTTTTGCAATGTTTTTACCGGATCTAATTGTGGGATGTGAGTTTTATGAGGACGCAAGTGGCAATCAAGGGAACCTGGGATCAAACGATTTATAATGTTTTTAGTATGCGCTTAAGATTGTAAACTAAAAAGTGACTTTTCTTTCTAATATTAAACGAAAACCGAGAAAACGTTTTTGAAAAGTAATATCGATCGGGACACGGCTGCAAGGGCTTTGCTAAGATATATCACGCCATCTGCCGATTGTATTGAGCACCTAATTTCGCATGAAAATCTGAAAATCACTCGATTATAAAATTTCTTCCATTTGGTGGTCGAAACTAATATGTAAAGTTTCAAGTATTTCTATTTTTCTCTGTAGCAAATTTTGTATATCTAGAATGTTTCAGTTGCCAACAATCTCCAGTGTTCAATGTGATAAGTCTATTCCGAACAGTAGATGATTTCAATCCAGTCTACTTGGGCTCACTAATGTGTGACATTGGACTGATATGGATTCAAACAAAACCGAACTCTTACCAAGTTTCCGTCAAAATTAACCCTCCCACTGATTTGTACCTTGATCCGACAACAAATCCTCCGACTACAACTGTCGTCACAACTAGCGAGACGACGGCTACTTTTAATCCGACACAACCTGTTACTTCTCAGAGCACTGTGAGAGTTGTTACGACACAGCAGCGTGAAACGAGCACGGATTCGACTACAGCTTCTGTGAAGCCTCAAAACGTGTTGGTGTACTCCTGATTATTTGTTACATGTCAACTATTTTGCATTAAATTAATTGACTGACATTTTTCGTTTGTTTTGTATTCAATTTTCATCTCAAAAATGTTTTATGGAAAAAATACATTGAATGTTTTAGAGATCCTCCCATCGGAGTTTCAGATGGTCAAAAATCAGATAAAACAAGCAAGGATACTTTTGATTCGCCTGGACAATATATCGATGAGAAACTGAAAACTAATGAAGGAACAGAGCCTTTTTTGAAGGAACAGATAATTTCGAGTTTTGTGCGATCAGTTTCAACTACAAAAGTTGCGGTTCAAACGAGCACACGGGCGCCCGTGCAAATTTCACCTCTGCAGAAATTCAAGTCTTGGTTGGTACAAAACGGTCAGGAGTCTTTAGCCAATGCATGCTCTAAATGGGTTATAAATTCAACATATGATTCAAAGTTGAATGCAACAGCTGTCAGAAAAGTGATTAGAGCCAACTGTTCTCATCCAAGTTTCAACGTCAAACTTTTCTTTGGGTTCGATTTTGATATTAAGAAGACAAACTTCGAGAAGCCTATTTTGTCGTTTTTCAATGAAACTTCTTGGGGAGCGCCTTACAATAGTAACTGGAAAGACACGTGGTTAGAAACTCGTGTCTATAAAACTGTTGACGTTCTTCCATCAGAAATAAAGTCCTTTATCAGTCAGCAATGTGCTGGGCTGAAAACGTCTGTTGCTTCTCTAAACAACGAGAACGTGAATTCTACAGAGTTCACAAAGGTTGTTTGCACTAAAGTCACACAGAAGAGTCTGTTCATCAGATCGTTCACGCCCGATGCTCCCAAGCCCCTGTTCATTAAGATGCACTCAACTAAGCCGAAATATGTTGAGGATGCGCATAAGGTGTTTGCGAAGTACAGACAGCTGTTCGACGAGGATAAATTAAGTGTAGTTGACGAGGACGTGGGAAAATTGGACAAGGTAGAGAGAGAGATGCTCCGATTGGGTTAGTGTCGACTCATTTCTGTTCACTTTTCAAAGTTCAGCACTACTGCAGGACCTTGAACGATTCCAAGGAATTGATATGTTAATACTGGTGAATGAATCGATTACTTGGCCGTAGACAGGGTCAATAGCCGAAAAGAAGCGTGAGACAGAGAGCGTTCTGTTTCGCTATTTACATGAGATTTGTTAGGAGACTGATTCAAGGTTGAGAATGATGTAATTTTGTCTCCATTAAATAAGTGGAGTTAAGTTAAGTTAAATAGATTTAAAGTACGTTCAAAGTATCTGGTGCAATTCTTTTTGCATGGCTTCCATATGGGACCATTAGTAATTTTTCAGAACCATAGTTCTAAACGAGGTTTTCAACGGGGCCATGCTTCGACACAAGTACCATTCTCGTATTTACTAGATTTTGATGATCTCGAGATGGTCTGCAAGTATAGAATTCGGGTTTTGGATCTACATAGCAACCATCCCCTCCCTTCAACGGCATCTCCAACACATCTAAATAAATAATGTAAATTAGCAGTAGAGCTTTCTATTGAAAGTTCTTGTTTTGCTGAATTCTGATCGGTTGAAAATTAGACTAACTTAATCTACTTAACAATCTCCCACGTATCTTAAAGGGAAGGGAGAACCTAGTCGCGGTAGCATAATCAACGTCTGGGGAAATAAGTTAGGCTAGGTCATTTTTTTCATGTGTTTAGAGTGCACTTCTGGTCTATTTTCAAGAGGCGGAGTCTTTATTGACTACAAAGTGAACTACGTCAGTTCTTTTGTGGAGCTACAGTGCAAAAACAGTTCAACACCCAAAACATTCTACCTCGAGTATGATAAACCCGATGTGGCTCAAACTGTGTATGACCTCGTTTCGCAAGACCAAATGAGAACCGAAGTTCCACAGTTACAAAGCCTGCTGCACCCTAAATGGACCCAGAGTTTGGCTTCTTTGGACATACAGAGACTATTGAAGAAGACTTTGAACTTCAAAGAAGCGGTAAAGTCGTCAAATTGTTCGAGTTATTCTGTGTTGTTGACGTACGAGAATTCGATTGTGGAAGAAGGTCGTAAAATGTACTTGGTGATTCTGTTCTGTCCGAAAAGGGCGGAGGATGACAGGGTTATGTATGCAGTAGTTGCCACTGTTCTCAATTCTGATTGGTTCAAACCGGTCCTGGTTGATAAACTGAAAAACAGGCCACCAGATGGTTTTTGAGCATTTTAGACATTCTTAGAATAAAAAAATTGTGACAATTGATAGATTGCGTGAAAACAAAAACTAAGTTTGTATAATTTTGAAGGATTTTAAATTTTCAGAAATCCAGGTAAAAATTGAGGTAGTTGCTTTTTTTTTACTAATTATTAAAGAATTTTTCGTTCATGTAAAGTTTTCTGCTTTAGCATTTGACCAGACAATAATAACTAATTAGATCGAAATACAATTGAACTAAATTCTATCATTTAAAGGAATCTTGTCCTTGTATTTAATCTTCTGTTCTTAAGGGCAAATTTGAAGTATAAATGGAAGAAATGTCTCCACACATCAAAGTATTGCAACCAAGGAAATTTCACAAAGCGGTAGCAAATTTCTTTATTTAATGTCTCCCATACTGGTCCAATATTTTGCCATATCAAGGCGTGGAAAATAATCCTAGAAAAACTCATTTTCCACTTCTATTCATGCTGGCCTGTTAGTAGTTATGAATATAAATTGATTTATTCAATTTCAGATGATTTGTATGAAAAAGAGGCCTTTTTGAGGTTAACTCACCATCATCATGAGCTGGGGTGAGAAGCTCTGGGACAAGTTTGACATTGTGGAAAAGCACACGGAAAAGGGTATTCAATTTTCACGCCGTGTAGTCCAATTCTTCGAAGAGTATGCTACGAAGAAACGTGAACACGCACAGCAAATGCGGAAACTAGTGAAACAATACAACGTAAACTACAAAAAGGGCAACGCCACCAGCATCGCCGGCAAAAAGGCGGGAAAAGAGGGGGCCAAAGACTATTCGTACGAGTCTGCGTTTTATGTCATGTTGGAACATGTGAATGAAATGGCGACGCTCGAAGAAACAATGGCGAGTGATTTGGAAGATAAAATAATCCTGACTGCGAAGCACCGACACAATGATTTCATGTCTAAACGCAAACAGTTTCTCTCTGCAGGCAGAGACCACAACGTCAGACTTTCGAACTCGATGAAATTCCTGGAAACGGCCGAGAATAATTTCAAAAAAGCATGCAAAGCACGCGACGAAGCCCAGGCCGCGTTTACAAAAGCAGACAAAGATATGAATGTAACAAAAGCGCTGGTCGCGAAATGTGAGCAGACGCTGAAAACGAAAACAGAGTTGATGGAAAGCTCGAAGCAAGAGTATCTGCTGCAGTTGAAGCAGACGAACGAAGCACAGCGCAGTCATTTTTTCGAACAGATGCCGCTAGTTTTCACAGACTTGGAACACTTGGACACGGATCGAATCCAGGACCTGCAGGCGTTGATTCATGACTTCGCTAGCCTGCATGAAAACTATCAGGTAAGTCAACGGTACAGTTTAAGTACGATAATCTGGTTCCTGATAGTCAAGTATAGAGGTTGTCCCGATGAAAAAGTAGAAGGCAACTATCTTTCACCTTATTGGAAATGGAGATTTTTTTCACTCTTTTTTTTACTCATTACAAAATTGCAGGACTACCATTTCATACTGGCATTTTCTTGGGACACAACTATCTTTTGCTATTTTTTGAACAATTTTCCAGTAAACTAAAAAATTAGTCAGAAAAGTTCAGAAAGGTTCATTCAAGCTGAACCAACATGGTTTAGTGATTTTGACCTTTCATTTGACCTCTTGCTAACATAATTGTGCTTATATTCAATCAAGCTTTCAATGTTTCGTGATAATGTTTTGAACTAATGTTTGATTTGTTTCTATTTCTGGTCTCTAGAAAGTAAGTAAGCCTGCTTCGTTCGTGATCGGTACACACACATCGGATGGTAAAGACAGAGTTGGTAAGCGCAGAAAAGCTTGCGTGTCATGTCCAGCTGGCCAAATTTAAATTAATTGCAATTGCAAAATGGAGATAGAGCTTTGTGCGTTTTTGTTCTCAAACTGATTATCATGTCTTGTACTTGTACTAATGTCACTGTATGAAACGTTACATGTTTTTCAAAGAGTCATTTATTTTAGTGAAAGACTTATCTTCTGAAACTGCCACCCATGGCCTTGGAAATCTAATGGCTGGGACTAGACTTTTCCCGTAACGATCTTTGTTATACATTCTGCTCATACTCTTACTCATCCTTTTGCGCATCCTCTGCATATTTTATTCGGATATGTGGTTTTCGTCCTAATTTGTGTCGGCTGATTCTCCGTTTTTTTCTAAATGCAGTTTAAAGGATCTGGTACGCTTTTCAAGCAGTTTGTTTCCAAAGCTTGGATTTTTAGGTTTTTCGTTCAAATAGTGTTTATTATATAGAAATTTGTGTTTTATTTTGTAAGATTATCAATTTTGATTATCGACAACCATCCGGCGTTTATAATTATCAACCAAAATTAATCAAACATCCGACGTTATTTTAAATGTTTTGGGCGTTAATTGCAATTTTTAATGTCAGAAACAATTATTTCAATTTTTTTTTGTTTGATTTTAATCATAGTCATTCATTTTGTATCGCAAGTAGAGCGAAGCTTAGCTTCGCCTCTGTGTAAAGGTTGTAATCGAAAAAACAGATTGTGAATATTGCTGCCAAACTGTTGCCGCATTAAGTTAAATAAAAAAAGTAATCGCCTTGAAAATGTTTTATTTCTTGTGCTAAATTTCTTTTTGTGCAAGTTTTTTTTTGGTCGACATATTTTTTTCCGCTTAATTATTGCTCGGTCATTGATTCTCGTTATTTGTTAAGGCTGTTTGTGAACATCATCCGAGGCAATGGTATGAAAGTTTTGCAGAGAATTTTTTCAAGTTTTAAATTGTATCGCATGTGTTGCGAAGCTCTGCTTCGCCTCTGTTTAGTACATTGAAATTGCAATTAATCGAAACAATGGATTCATTTCGAGCGTAAAATCAACCAATTCTTTCATAGAAGGTCAAGCAATTAAATTAATCATGGAGCTCCCGTAATAAATACATCAAGTCTCGATCTGGCATTGTGTAAAAAATTAATTAAGAGGATAGACTTGGACTGAATTTGAAATACAAAATGAAACTGTCATTCACGCCATTAAAGGCGGAGGCGAATTTCAGTAGGAAGTTGAACATATAAAAGGTGAAATGATGTGGGTTGAAATCATTAGGAGATAAAAACGTGGGCAACGTAGGGGTACAAAAAAGCTCTGCTCATGTGATCTAAATAACAGTTTTTGCAACCGAAATTGTTTTTTTTTTCTTTGTAGTATGAAAGTCATTTCTGAAGCCAGTCGGCCGAAATAATTGTCATGCAGTTCAGTCAAAGTTGCTTCCTGACAAATATATCCCGGTCTCGAAAAATTCTATCTATGAATGACTTGGTAACAATGAATGCTTCTTTTGAAACTTTTCGCAAAATATGGATTGATTTTTCAACCGTTCAATGATCAAATCATCTCGTCCGGAAGTCGACCGAGTTGTCTCTGTTATTACAATTAAATATGCTATATCAGATGTTTCAGAGCCTTGAAATTATTTTAAAAATTGAGATAACTCTTTTCATTAGTTTATGTTGTCTGAAATATCTCAATTTGTTGTGTCACTTCTTATATTTTTTAAATAACTTGGAATTTATGTGGCAGAAACACTTCTTTTTTATCATTGCTTCTGTATTTTTCTGAAAATTATATCTAGTAGCGGTGGCTTTTGTAAGCTTGATTGGTTTCATTTACTGGCGTAATTAAATGGGGATATTCCCGCTGTTGAATGACCGAAAGTGTTCAGCGTTCTTGTTTGATTTTTACGTTCTTTCGTCCAAAATTTTGATACTCAATAATGGTTGGTACTCGGTCATTCGGCCAGAAGTGATTTCCTTCTAAGTGATTGCCTTGAGTAGTCAGACTACAGCGATTAGTCAGACTTCATAACACTGTTTAAGACATATTTTAATGCTTAACTAAATTTATGCGGAAAAAATGAACGTAGTGAATACTTTTATGCAGGTCTTAATGATTTTTGTTTGTTTTCTTTTTAGGCTCAAACTTGATTTTTTGAGGTTTAACTTTTTAAGTTGAGTTCATTTTCTTTGTTAAAAGGAAGGCAAACTAGCCTATCGAACAGCAAAAGTGTAAAGTTAACGAAAAACGTGATCGACTTTGTTTCAAAAGTGGATTTTAGTTTCAGATTTCTCAGTAGAATGAAAAATTAACCCACTGGTAGTTTTCTCAATTTGGTTCAGTTTTGTCTAAAAGTGTCAATCATAAATTGATCTTGAAGTTCAAAGTGCTCTTGAAAACCACTAATTTTTCTTGAATTTTTGTCCTGTTCCAACTCTGCCTATTGGCTATGTTTTTCTAAAACAACTGATATTATCGTTTTCCACAATTGATTCCTTCGCTTTATTCCCGTTTTCCTCACATGATGCCTGTTCAATTGTTCATTTTTATGAATCGTGAGTGTGTTAGAGAACAACTGAATGTTTTCCTTCTGATATATTTTGATAAAGTTTTTGATAAATATTATAAATGTCAGTTTTTGAAGGCATTTTTTTGCACCTGAACAGCGGACATCATTTTGTATCGCAATGATAGGTAGCTCTGGGCCGAATCTATAGGTTGTTTTTGATCCGGTAAAAGTCTGAAAAGGAAGACATGTTGAGCTGCGCAAATTTTCTACAGGGAGGACGGAAATGGTGCGAAAAATGTTGACGATTTCTAGTTTCAAAGTGGCTTTTGATTTTTAAATTTCCCAGCAGAAAAAATTACCAATTGGTCCAGCTTTCTCAAAAAAATGTTTCAAACAAAGTGTCAATCATAGATTGTTCTTAAAATTCACAGAGCATTAAAACTATCGTTTTTTGCATTCATTGACACTTTTCCGATTGTCTGTTGACTATGTTGCTGACAGTTTTAAAGCCTTCGGTTGAAGCTTTCTCTGAAACTTAAGCTAAATATGATTCATTTGATAAAAATATGCTTGAAAACACACGTTTTGTCCTGTTATTATGTTACTATATAACTAAATAAACTAATTGCCCTGTTATTTTTATGTGTTTCTTGTTAGTGTGTTTCAACGCATTTAAGATGAAAAAAAATATATTTTTAATTAGCACATGTTGCTTTGAAAATTTATGGTGAGCGAATTGTGTTCGTCCCTCGTTCGATTGTTCTTTGAATTTGTTCAGGTTCTACTGTGAGTTCAAACGTTTGGTTTTGTTTGATTATTTGTCTCTCGCATAATAGCAGCCCCATATGCAGCAAATTATCGACCCTCATGATTCAAAAATATGTTTTGCTGGGCTACGCTGGCTTTTTGCAACTATGCTGTTGGGACTAGAAAGCGAATCAAGTTCTTTCCGTGCGTAGAAGTTGAGTTAGGACCGATGTGGTTAACTCATAGAGTAATTTCGGATAGGGTACACCGTCTGCTCGTCACGCTATCTTATTTTCGGCCGGATAGATTCGTGCAACTTCTTAGTCTAATACCGATCCTAATCTTACTCTTATACTTACTAGTCTCAGGGTGTTTAACTAGTCTCTGCTAGGCTCAATAGATCTAGGGTATACTGGTTTGTTGCGGCTGCTGAAGTTCTCTCGGAGAGACAACTAATTTCTAAGTTAAATTCAAATCTCTCTGGTGCTGAAATTACAAGTAATTTCAGCACTTACAAATAAGTGGGTTGTTAGTTAGATGGATCATGATTGGTTAATATTAAATACTTTACAGTGGTAAAATATCTAATTTATCCAATCATAAAATATAGTTTAGATCAGGTTCCACCCATCCGGGTTTTACAGAGTTTTTTAGAATTATCTTTCTGCAATTCAAAGGATGGATGATGAACGTTGGTATTGGGCGAACATCGTATCTTCGTGTATCTTCTTGTGACAACGACTGTGTTTCCCAACGAAATCAATCTGATTTCAAAATGGTTTGCTATGACGGGGTTTTCTGTATTATGTAGAGAACTTGTTTTGTGTTCAGCCGCGTCTGGGAATGGCGTGGAGATTGTGCGTGGAGGGGATGCCTTGTAACTCGGATCTGTACGTATACTTGAACATCGAGGTGGTCAATGGTCTAGTTCAATGAAGTCCTTTTCTGCGAAGTCAAGTCGTACTCTAAATCTTTTGAGTTGTGATTGTGGACGGCATTTTGGTTGTGGTTGGCCATTCTTTTTCGAGTGTAGTGGGATCACTTTGTCTTTGGATGTTCGTCTTTGTTGTTGTATGCTGATCTATATACTGCAAAGTATGTTTTACATTTTATAAAATTTTTATTAGTTCAATGTTTTAATTATGATTTTGATTAGTTGTTTTCACAAAAGCTTTTTGTTTTAGTTCGGTTATTTTGAAGAGTTACTCACCCTTGAGTACCTCTTATTAAAAATAGGAGTGTGGTCACAAAGCGTAGA